ATATATATTGATCACATACCTAGTTTAGAACACTATAAGTGTGTATATATATATATATATATATATATATTCTTTTTCTCTATGAATAAGACAAGAAGAATATTCATTCTTAATACTTGTTACAGAAAGAATGACTTGAAAAAGAGAATGAAGAAAGAAGACAATGGTGGAAGATATGCAAGACTTCATTTCCTTCTTGAACTTCATTTAAGGATGCTCTGTCTAACTTTTACCTTTTATATCTTCATATTGAAAATTTGGGTAGAAATTATTCATGGATATCAGCTAATTATTATGCATTTAAAATTTTGGTCTTACAATGATTGGAGGTCAAGCTAGGGTTCTTTTGTGTTTAGGGTCTTAATCTATTGCAGAGCCTTTTACCCTCCCCCTCCTTTCTTCGTTTTCTATATATTCTAAATTTTAGTTTTCTTTTGATCTGTTATATCCTTTTCTTGTAACAGCCAGCTCATGTTTCCTACAAAAAAATTCCTTCCTCTGCAGAAATTTGTATCTCATATTATATATGGATGTTTTTCTCTGCCTTGTTAGAAAGAAATGCCATGTAGACAAAACAATGAGTTTAGGTGTGATGCAAAGATAACTGGTTTAGTGTATTATATTGGCTGAAGTAACAAAACTAGCTCGAGAAGTCGAAGTTTGAGCTTGTTTCTATTTTTACAGTTCTAGCTTTCGTCCTATCTCGCCTTTCCCTTTTTCTTATCTTCTTCCTCATCTTTCTCTGCCTTTCTATGTCTGTTTTCATTGAATCATCATCAACAAATAGACTAGAAAACACTGATTTAACTGCATTCGTGGTTCTCTGCAGGGAGCATCTGACTCTTGGAACATGCCTGTGGCATTTATTAGTGTCATCCTCCTTCCAATTGTGGGAAATGCTGCTGAGCATGGAAGTGCAATTATGTTTGCCATGAAGGATAAGCTTGTGAGTGTTAGACAGTTTACACTACTTAATGCATATTTACTGTTTTTCTTTTTTCTTTTTCTTTTTTAAAAAAAAATAATCGATTAAACTTGATGTTTCTACAGGACATCACACTTGGAGTTGCAATAGGATCATCTACTCAGATATCAATGTTTGTGGTGAGATACTAAAATTGTTAATGAATATTTGCTAATTGGAGATAATTTTACTGCCATAGAGTAACCATTACCAACCCAAATCCAATTTATTTACATTGATAAGATCTGCTGGAGCTTTTCACTAAACTTTATACAACAGGCTGTTGAAGATTTCTGAGTGTTGAGAATTGCAGAAGGTGAATTAATTTTGGTTAATTTAAAAGGCTAATAAATAGTGCTTCTGTTAATTGTAGATCCCCTTTGTGTAGTTGTTGGGTGGTTCATGGGACAACCAATGGACTTGAATTTTCAACTCTTTGAGACTGCTACTCTCTTTATCACGTGCTAGTGGTGGCATTTATGTGCGCAGGTTTGTCCATGTGATTTGACTTTCACCTCTCCAGTCTTCGAAATTCAGTTATAGATAATTTTTTTCTTTTACTTTCAATTTATTATAGTACAATGCATCAGAAGTTTTAACTTAAATATTTCATAATCAAGGAGAATCTGCTATAGTCATCTAAGCTCACATCTTTAATTATGCCTTTTTCATTGCAGGAAGGGACATCAAACTATTTTAAAGGTTTGATGCTCATTCTAGGCTACCTCATTGTGCAGCAAGTTTCTTTGTCCATGTTGACTCGAATGGTAAGTTATAAAAAAAATATATATATAATTTTCTCATACATGTCTTATAAAGGGACACGTTCCAGCATTACTCATTTATTCTTTTTCAGTCTCAGAAATTCTTCACTTTTCTTCCATGTTCACCAAATTCTGAGCTGGGACCTCCGTCCTACCCTACGGTCTTATAGTCAGAAAACTTTTAGGATATAGTCTCTCGTAGATGACCTCCACAGTAGTTGAATTTTTAACCTCTTTGATTAAATCAATGGCCTTAACTACTCAACCATCTTGGGAGGTCAAGATTTTCTTTCCATTATTGAGGTTGGGTTCTGATATCTGTACTTTGTATGGAATCTGTATGCATTCATTTATGTACTATCATGCAATATTCGACAGAAGAGGTTCTGGTTTGCAGTCAAATAAATTCTGTGATTCTACTCGATAATTATTATCTGTTGTGGACCTTTGTTGCAGATGATTAGCATCGACAGGGAATATAGATATCCCAACATAAGTCAATATATCACCTGTCTCTATACAGAGAAAGGTCATGGCTGGTAGTACCCCAGAAACTAGCCTCAATTCCCAGATTTGCTCTAATCAACTGGCGGCACATAGCACTCTCAGCATCACAAAGTTGACAATTCATTGAGCTTATATAATAGAGCATAAGACATGTCGCAAGGATGGAGAACCAGGCTTTTATCGTCTTTTGGGCGATTTCTCTCTTATACTATTTTTTTTTTTTATAGGATTTTTTTTTCTGTATTTTCAATTTCTGATGTCTACTTAAGTGTGCATACACTTAGGTGAAGTAGAGAGTTTTGGATAAGAATTTTTTTTTTGTGTTTGGAACAGCATTCTTATGTATGTAGCCCCTGTAGGTTCCAAAGGACTAGAGGTGAACGGCAAAAAGAAAAGAAAACATAATACAGTTGAAACAATTTATTGTTGTTTAGATATCTATTATGATTCTCTATTCTTATTGCTTTATTCATATCTGATGCATATCATTTAGAATATATTTATGTAATTTTATTGATTTTCCTTGAGATTTAGTGATAACAGATGGGTATCTTCTGGGTTGGTCATTTAGGGGGCCAGGGTCAGGGAGCTTCATCTCCAACCGTGCCTAGTTGAGACACCTTTCTCGTCTTCCCCAAGAGGGGAATGCAATGCCCACCCCTTATCATCTAACTGATCAATGTGTTCATAGGATGTTATGTGTAGTTAGATGCAAAATAATTTTTTTTTTTTTTTTTTTTATTTTTGGGTAACCGGAGTGTCCGAACCAGTTTGCACATACTTCAACTAATCTTCGAGATTCATTGAACACTCTGAGAGCCCAAAAGACCAAGTAAGTCATAAAATAATAGGTGACCCTAAGTTTGGAGCTTAAACACTTAATGAATGAAACAAACATCTTTCACCGTCAAGTCAAGCCCTTCAGGTGTATAAAATAAATTATGATACTTAAACAACTTTATAATTTAAGTAAAATACTTAATTTCACTTCCAACTTCATTGGATAAAACAATTTCAATTACAATAATTTTATCCATGTGGAGATGGTATTAATTTTTCTTATATATATGATTATATATTGGATAACTAAAATGTGTTTGAAATAATTTCTAGTATATATATATATGGATTATGGACACGATGGGTGGAATGAATTTCTCTTTTTATAATAATAATAATAATAATAAATATAAATTATTATTTTTTAATTAAAAAAAACGAGGATCCTATAGTGCCGCCCTGGCATGTTCCAACTCATTTCTCACTAGACAATGTTGAGTTGAAAATACAACTCAATTTTGAAAATAATTATTATTTATTTTATATCAATTAAAAAAAAAATTCTGATTAAAACAAAACTACTGAAGACAACCTGTTTAGTTTTAGGACAAACAACCCAATGTCCCAATCCAACCCACCTAAATTTGAGCCACATTATTAGCTTTACGATTTCCTGCAATAACTTGAATTTATCTATCTAATCCTCAATCTAATTAATAAAAAATACTTTTCTCTTTTATTAAAAAAAAAAAAAGAAAGGTAAAGCAAATTTTCAACATGTTGAACATACTGCAATATAACTTCTCAATAGTGGTAATACAGGAATAATCTCCATGTATTTATATTAAATTTCGATATCAACTTGAGTTGATTAAAAATAAGAATAAACTCTATATTGTAATAAGTTATAATTTTTTTAGGTCCGTCTTAATGATCTTATCTCTATATAGTGATAATTATCTGTATATTGCAAAAAATATATGTTATGTTATGTTAAAGGTTTAAGATAAAATAAAATATTTATCTAAAATTATTTGGGACAATGATGCTTTACAATTGTTACCATATCTTTTAACCTGCGGCTACATAATGACTTGGCAACATAAACACCTTCTTATTGAAGTCAAAATATTTCTAACTTCTCAGGCATATTTAAAGCTTAGCTTCTTGGCATGAAACATTTTGTATTTCCGTACTATCATCCTTAAGATTATCTCTTTCATCTTCTTGTCTAGTTACAGCAATGGTTTCTTCTTTAGTTAAAGGCATACATTACTTGTTGTTCATTTAGATAATTGAGAAATACATTAATATCCATTTTATCAGCAAAGTAAAATTGTCGAATCTAATCACTCAATTCTATAATGACTCGTTAATTCTCTTTATCCACCTCATTTGTAACTTGCAATTCATTGACATATAGTGCCTAAAACAACTAGCAATTATCGATGGCTTCACATTAATTGACTATTCAACAACTGTATTTACAATTCTATTAAGTATGCTTATTTTTTTTAGTTTCAAATAATATTTTTACATCAAGAAAAGTAAAAGAAAATCTTAATACTACTAAAATAATTAATTAAAATCTTAATACTACTAAAGCATTAATCGAAATCGTAATTGTACAATTAAAATATAAATTATAAAATTAAAAATTAAATCAATAGTTTTTATAATTATACCTGTATAAACAAATTTAATAATAAAAAATAATACGAAAAAAAAAAAGTTACAAAACCCTGGCCATTTTGTCGTATAATTTTCCCCTTAATCATACATTCAAAGGTACACCTCTTCCTCACGCGCATTCCCACCAATCACAAGTCACCCTCCCCCAACTCCCAATCAAACAAACACGTGATCTACACGTTCCAACCCTCCACGTCAACCCCCTTTGAAATCTCGATTCCCTCTTTTGATTGCAACCTCTAATATAAATTTACCATCTTATCCCCCATTTATTTATTGATTACCATCTGATTTCCCTTCATTTCATTTCCATTTCTCTCTCTCTCTCTAAAATTTCTTCATTTTCATTTTCTTTTGTTTTTCTCTCAACGATTTTTCACGAATCGGGCGAAATCTCCTTCCCCTGTTTCGCCTTTTGTTTTGACATGAATTTTACACAACAATATCTTCAAATCCAACCCCAAATCTTTTTGGGTCTTTAAATTTGTCGTCTTCAATTCCTTTATTTGACGAAAAAAAGATTCAAAACGCAACAAAAATCACTCATTTTGGTCTGATTATGAAGCCGATTCAACCACCACCGTCTTCTGCGTTGTCGTCGTCGTCATCTTCGTCTGGTAATAAGCGAATTCCGCGTCGGCGGTCGGACCTAACCCTTCCAATCCCGCATCGGGACACGGCTCTGGCGGTGCCGCTTCCTCTTCCGCCCAACTCGGTTACGTCAACGAGTCAGAACAACAACATAGTGATGAGTTTCAATGAACTTGACCGACTCAACCGAGTCGGGAGCGGATGTGGAGGCACCGTTTACAAAGTCGTCCACCGGCCGACCTCGCGGGTCTTCGCGCTTAAAGTGATCTACGGCAACCACGATGACGCCGTCCGCCGTCAGATCTTGCGGGAGATTGAGATCCTCCGCGACGTCGACCACCCGAACGTGGTCAAGTGCCACGACATGTTCGATCACAACGGCGAAATCCAAGTCCTTTTAGAGTTCATGGACGGCGGCTCTCTCGAAGGCTTACGAATTGCACACGAAAACTTACTTTCAGATCTCGCTGGACAAGTCTTAAGTGGATTATCGTATTTACATCGCCGCCACATTGTTCATCGCGATATAAAGCCCTCGAATTTATTAATAAATTCAAGAAAAGTTGTGAAAATTGCCGATTTTGGGGTCAGTAGAATCTTGGCACAAACGATGGATCCGTGTAATTCCTCAGTGGGGACGATAGCCTATATGAGTCCGGAGAGGATCAATACGGATTTGAATCAAGGGCAGTATGATGGATACGCTGGAGATATATGGAGTTTGGGGGTGAGTATGTTGGAGTTTTATTTGGGTAGGTTTCCATTTTCGGTGGGGCGGCAAGGGGATTGGGCGAGTTTGATGATGGCAATATGTATGTCACAGCCACCGGAGGCTCCGCCGACGGCGTCGATGGAGTTTAGGGATTTTATAAGGTGTTGTTTACAGAGGGATCCACATAGCCGGTGGACGGCGGCGCAGTTGTTGCAGCATCCGTTTATATTGAGAGGAGGGGCGAATCAGGTGAATCAGAATCTTCATCAATTGTTGCCTCCACCACGACCACTTTCTTCTTAGTTTTTACTTCATTTTAATGAATGGATGAAATGGATGGATGTTAAAATCTTGATTTTGGTTTCTTTTATCTTAATTTTGTTTGATATGATCGGGCTGAGGTGGGATTTGATTTTTTGGGGGGTTTTAGATAATTGGGGTTATGGAATTAATGGGGGGAGCTTCTTCAAGTTATGGATATGGATGAATGATGAATGTCAACTTTCAATCAAATTAATCAATGAATGAATGCACCAATCTTGTCTTTTCATAAATGTTCTTCCAGAAAAAGGAATTACTGTTGAGTTTTTTTCATTTTTGTTATTAGATTTTTGATGTTATGAGATATTGGAGATTGGTTTTTGGGGGGATTGGGTTTTATTGGGTACTGAAATCTTGCCATTTTTGGTTACATTTTTGCTTTGCTCTATTCATTATGTGTTGGATTAGATTTGGCTTTTCTTGTATAAGATGTTGTTTTTGGATTGATTTGATCACTATCTTGTTCATTGTCAGGATGCTAAACTCATTATAGCTTTGATAAAAAGAGTTTTTTATTGCCATATATATATTTATATATATTTCTCTTCCTAGAATTGGTAAAGATTTTCTGAGATTTTGTGGATTTGTGTGTCTCTAGAGATCAAAGCTTTAAGCTTCTCTTTTTGTGGAAGGATATCATATAACCTCTCTGTTTTGTGCATTTTGAACTGTTAAATCCCTTGATATCTGAGGGTTTTGAACATGATTTTGTTGTCAGGAGCTGCATCTATTTTCTTTCATTCTGTAAAACATGTTTTTGGAAGCAATATTAGCTTTTGGTTCAATGTAGTGTTGTTTTGTTTTGGTTTTACAAGTGACAAGTGGTATGATGATGATGAGTTTGTATTAGATTTACATATATGGTTTTGGGGCGGTGTGATAATTGGTTAATCAAATATTGATTTAAGGTGGTTTGGTTATTATTGTTAACTTTTTAATGGAAGGCTTGCAGGGCCACATTGGTTAACTTTTGTGGTGATTTTATTAGAGTTTTAGTCTATATAATCATTATGAGAGAGAGAGGTAAATTATTCATCAAATCAAATTGGTAATTGTGGACCTATATCTATGTGCATTTTTTTTTTTTTTAAATTCTTTTTTATAGAAAGGGTTGATTTTATCAATATGTAAATTTTGTTGAAATTTTTGAGTTTTGTAATTTTTTTTTTTTTAAAAAATAAATCTATATTTTTCTATTTACAAAATAAATTTTCTTTTCAATTTTTCACAATTCTTAATAAGTATTTGATTATTTTTCACTTCTATACAATATTCATTAAATAAATAATATACTGAAATTATAATGGTTACACGAATTGATTTTTGAACTTATAATAATTCATAAAACCTTAAACAACAAACTATGAGTAACACCTACCGGTATATGATATCCTCCAATCAATGAACGAAGTGGGATCATATCATTATATGAACTTGTAAAATTGAGCGTTTAAGTGATGTCATCTCATTCTCTCGAATGTTGTGTTCCGATCCAGTGCAGAGCATGGTATGATCAAATCAATAACTTTCATAAAACACACATGTTTTGGCCAAAGACTTTCCACTCTTAAGTTATCAAACACCTTCTGTTTCATACCCTCACGTTCCAAACATTGACATTGTGTGACCTTCCATCTATACTTATTTAACTTTGATTATTTTAACTGATGACTCGTTTACATTGTCACCTCGAAATTAGTCGAAAGATCTATTGCTTTTAACTATAAATAACTAAGTCATAAAATCCTCATGTGTTAAAGGTAACGATGGATTACCAACACTTAAGGACACAATTTAGTCTCACATCATCTAGCAAATGAGTTTGAGATTCCACCTATCATAAAGCTCAAGTTTTGAGTGAAAAAGCTCAAAAGTAAATCGGTACTAGAGGTGTGCAAAAAAATTAAGGTAGAACCGGAATCGACAGATACCCAGGTTTCGATTCCGATTCCTACTTGGAACTGACTGCCACAAAGTCGATTTCGGTTTCGAAAACCTGGAACCAATGCTATGCGGATCTGTTTTCGATTTGACCACCTTAAGAACTGGAACTGTGACTAAATTGAAATATTAAAAAAATATAAGGACCATTGAAAGTTTTACGTTTCAATTAAAGTTTTTCCTTATTTCTTCCTGAATTTTCTCTTGTTTTGGTTGTTTTATTCACAGCTGAATTTAATTGATGTCTTACTTTGTTATTAAAATTAATTCACCATTCTAAGTGAAAACAACTTTATTTTTCTATTCATTTTCTTCTCATCACCTAAACACAACACCACAAAAAACAATTTTTTAAATAAAAATAACTCTAATTTTCCTTTCGTTTTCTTCTCATTGATATTGAACACAACACACACACACATACACACACACAAAAAGGAGAAAACATGAAATCCAAATCCAACAAATTCCGCCATTTAACATTAATATTAACAGAAACCCAAATCTTCATTTTTCATACAAAAAATCAATTTGGCATAAAAAATCTTTATTATTCATACCAAAAATCAACAAAGCATAAAAAGAAAAAATCAATTTGGCTAGACTTTCAAATTCTTCCTGCTATTTTTTAAAATTCGGCAGAAATCCTCTTTTTTATAAATGCAAAAAAGGAGGAGGAGGAGAAGATAAGAGAAGAAAAGACATCTAAAATAGGGTGTTCTTCGTTTTCTCTTGGCTAGGGTTTTGTGTGGGGAAGAAGAAGATAAGAGAAGAAACAAGAGAACTTGATTTTGTTTGTTTGTAAGCGTCGCTTAGGGTTTTAGCTTATAAAAAAGGTTTTTCAAAGTGATTGGTACATGATTTATAATCCAATGGTCAAAATTTGTTGTGAGATGGGGGTGTATTTGTAACTTTTTAAGGGTTTATTTGTCCTTTTTGAAACAAATATGAATCATTTGGTAATTTTATTGGGTACCCGGAACCGGAACCGGGCAGGCTCCGATTCCGATTCCGATTCCAATTCAGGTTTTGGTTCCTTCCCGCCCACCCCTACGCGGTACATATACTCATTACCCTCCGTCCAATAATGGTTATGGATGACACTCACATAAGCATCAAACAAGATTTTTGGGCCATGGCAATCGATACAGGGATCTTGATCTTCCCTTTTGCTTGTGTATATGTAAAATATTTACACTATTTTGGGTTGGTGGGATCAGCTACAGCTTGTCTTTTTAAGGTCAGAATGAATATAAATTGATTTATAAAGGGAAAGAGACAGATAGAGATAGATTTCTTCTAATTCCTTTCGTGGAAAGGCAAGGGACCATGCCAAACTAAAAAAATGTATTCTATTTATTTATTATTATTTATATATACTATATGTGAAGTTATTCTCTTTGTATTCTAGAATGAGGGTTATTTTTGGACTGATTCTTTGATAATTTCCCATTATATTGTTCAAAAGAATAATATCCATTTTTTTTTCTGAATAAGGGGGAGAGCTGTAACTAAAAATTATATAAACAACAAATTTCTTATATAAAATCTGAAGGGCCTATGGGCTTGAAACACCCAAGCTTGATTGGCCCATTACTCCTCGGATGGGCCTCATAAAAATCAAAAGTGGGCTCAACCCAAATGATTGGGCCGAAAAGTTTTGGCCCAGGTTTGTCGGGTTCCAAATGCTAGTAAATTAATTGGATATTACTTTGCATTGCGAAATCTTTTAAAACAAAACAAAACAAAATAAAACAAAAAAGATGACTATTGATTAAATAATATTTTGTGGTTTTTAAAATAACACATAACATTTTTTTTTTCTTTTGACATTTCATTAAAATCCTAAATATTAAAACAAAACAAAACAAAACAAAAAAGATGACTATTGATTAAATAATATTTTGTAGTTTTTAAAATAACACAAAACATTTTTTTTTTTTCTTTTGACATTTCATTAAAATCCTAAATATAATTTTTTGTATAACCTTTCAACAAACTGGGGCCTTCTCCTGGCCGAGTTACCCCTGTCCATTATTCTAAAATCCCTAACTTGATTGCAAACTACTTTTGGCCACTTTCCGAAGCCACATGTCCCCTGCCACTCATCCCCCACCCTAACCTGATTGTCGCCCACCCCTTGGTGTCAAACAATGAAAGACCAAGTCAATTTCAAAAAACATCAAATCGAAACCAATTCAGTTAGAAAAATCAACTCAATCGCAGCGGTATACGCAATTCACGGGCGAACGGGGAGTTACTAAGGTCGGGTGTTAGAGGGGTTTTGTGGAGTGGACGCTGATGGTTCAGGTGGTGGTGTCGGATTGAAATTTGGCTGTCAAAATCAGCCAGAATTTGGCCTAGAAAAGCGAAACCCTAAATGTGCGATTAGATCACAAGAGTGTGTTTGTTGGATTTCAAACCTACAAGGACTAATGTATTTATCAGGGGTGTGTTTGCTAGATTTTAAACTTGTTGGATCACCGATCGAATCGCCAATTGGACCGATCAACCTGTTACTCAACCCCTTGGTCGAGTAACAGCCTGGGTCGGGTATCATAACACTGTCTTATTGTATAATCCCCAAGAGGGTTTTGACACTAGGAATTGAGAATAAAACATAACATTAACAAGTACAAAAAATTAGTTGAAATTTTGGTTAACGGTAGCAAGATAAAGAAACCCCGACTTGTTATGGCAAATTCTAATTAATATCACTACCAACTTCAAAATCTAATGAAACACAAATTTAATGAGCAACTTAATAACCATATACATCAAATTACTAATGTTTAGTTAATTTCATATTAATTACTTCTGGTTTCAACTTAATTCTAATTTAATTTTTCTGCAATGTGTTCTTCTTTAAACCCAGATGTTGATACAATGGCTAAGTCATTGCACCATGTAATTAATTTTCCTTAACGATTAAATTGCTCCTTTCTTTTTTTTAATAGAATAAATTTATGTTTTTTTTTTATAGATGTATTTATATCATAATTGTCATTTGATGCAAATTACTGCCATTAATGGCAATTTAAATTAGATAATCTTTTATATATTAAATAT